AGATTATATGGTTAGTTGTTAGTAGTCTAGAAATCCCCCAAAGAGATTTCGTCCTCCCAACTCCAAGAATTGGACACGGATTATTCAGTATGCTCCCCTCTTTTGTTGTTTTGTTGCAAACCTTACCTCGGATGCCTATTAATGGTTATATACCGCATAGCGCCACCTGTAGGGCCTCAAAAGAGATGGTAGTGATGGGCCTTGCCCAAATCCGTCCTTACATCGAACTACCTAGGGTCCGAATACAACCGCTCCATTCAAGGGTTTCGAAACAACCACTTGCGCAAGACTTGCTCATTTTAATCCACTACTAATATCAACTTAACATTCTCATCATTTACTATGTATAACTAGTGTGGTCGTCAACCCTCTTTACCAACCTATTTAGTTTTCTCATTTTCACACTAAGTTCATTTCACATTACTGGTTAGCACAAGTAAGAGAAAAATAATGCCATTCAAGTATAACATATATTACAACAAATATGTCATGACAGCACAAAAGCATTAACTACAACAAGAACTACACTGTTTAGATTTCCAGCACTGCACCGGTTCAAAAATAAATATAGAAAAAATATTTTTTTAGGGTTTTAGAAATGTGGCTTCTTGAGGATTTGTAGAGAATCAAGTCTAGTTTCAGAATTATTTTACAGAAGTAGGGTGGCCCTTTTTTATTTTTAGATATTTAAGAAATACACAGACTTTGTCCAGATTTTACAACTATTACAAAATTTGGTGTTTCTCTTAAAATACTCATTCATTTTCATTGAAATAATTTTTTTTTGAAAGCTAACATTTAGAGGAAGATTTTGATATAAAAATGAACATGAGACCATTTTTCTACAATTTTCTAAAGTTCTCTGTTTTAACAGGTTCTTTGCAACAAGTATTTAGAAAAATAAAAAGAGTCATAAAAACACATCCATGGTTTTAGAAAAAATTCTCACATACTCTATATATGTCAATTAATACCCCTATAAAATAGATTTTGCGTCGGTGAAGGTTTGCTATTGAAATAAAATCAAAAACCTTGAGAAAAGCTTGCTGGAAATTACAAGAAAGAAGAAGAACATTTCATTTTCAAACCATACATCATCTAACAAATGTAGTAACTCTTAGTATTATATGAGATACATTTTTAGCATGTATTATGAAGGGAAAAAACATGATGATTCATTAAGAGAAGAGGTGTATGAGATTTACCTTAGTTGATTAGAGTTTTCTTCGTACTTTCCTTCTTTCTTTTTTTCTTCCTCTTTCTCTCAAACTTACAAGCTCTCTCTCTCTCTCTCTCTCTCTCTCTCTCTCTCTCTTTTGACTTCAGCAGGTTGCTATGTGTGTGAAGTGTGAGGAATATGAGTTGCTAGAGCCTTGTATTTATAGGCCAAGAAGGAGAGAGAAAATGGTTGAATGGTTTGGTTGAATTTCAATGGAATTGATCTAGTTTGGTTGGTTTGTAATTGAATCCAATTAGGATTAGTGTTAATTAATCTTGATTAAGAAAAAATAATCATATTTATCAGTTAATTGGGAGACAAGAGTGCATTGCATTTATTACTAGTCATTTCCTTTTATTTATTCAAAGATATGCCAATATAAAATTCAAGATATTATAAATAAAAAATTAATTTTCCTTGTCCCTTCTACTATTCACAGCCGGCTGATTTTCTACACATGTGGGAAATCAATTTTTTTATATTATAATATAGTAGATATTATGTACAATCAATATAAAAATAGTTGTACCTTATTTGATTAAAATATTGGGGTTTTTTGGGCCAAAATGCAATAATAAAGAAAGAAAAGGGCTGGATCTGAAATTCTGAAATAAAACATATATTCAAGTCATATATTTAATAAAATAATGATAGGAAAAGTATTTCGGGTCATGTGATGCCGATTCGCAACAAAAGGCGAGATATCGGGCTAAAATGACGATTACCGGAAACTAGGGTTTTTCTCTTATAAATTTTCATTCTAGGGTTTCTAAATTATTAATTTAGGGTTTTGGAATGTTTCCTAAGTTCTCAGAGTCGATTAGGGTTTGCAGGTTAGCTTGTGCAGTTGTTCTTGATTTCTAGGATTTAATTTGCAAGAAATAGAGAAATAGGGTTTCTTATTGAAATTCTTTAACTATAAGAGTTTGGAAATATTACAAAAAGTTGGTGCCTCACAAGAATTGTAGAGAGAGAGGATATTTTTTGAAATTATTTCCTCACTCCTAAATGTTTCTAACCTTGAAATATGAGAAGGAGGTCATCTATATATAGAAAACATGAGCTTTAGGTCGAAAATATCTAAAAAGGGACAGCTGGACTTTGTGGAAACATCTGGAAAAAATATCTGGGTTTTACACACTAGCCGGCCGGCTAGAAGTGTGAATTTTTGGCCACCAATGGTGTCCGGCCGACCATCTGTTGGCCACTTGCCAACCACCAAAAATCTCCTTTTAAGCCCGATTTTAAATGGGCATATCTCCTTCACACGAACTCGGTTTTAGGTCATTCTTGAGTCTAAATTTAAGCCCAGGAAGTCTACTTTCCAATGATGGTAGCCTCACATATAAATTCTAACTGTGCAAAGAGATATACCTATTTTAGTGAAGGTTGCCCAGTTTTATCTTAATCAGATTAATGCCTAACTTCAAACGGTCATATCTCCCTCATCTGGACTCGGCTTTAGGAGATTATTGAGTTTAAAATGAAGCTCCAGAAGTCTACTTTCTAATGGTGGTGGCCTCACAACTAAAGTCTAAGTGTACAAAGAGATAGGCCTAATTTAGTGAATGCTGTTTAGTTCTCTCTTAACGGTTTCAAGCCCAACTACTCCCCAACTAGTTTTCTTTCCTCCCCTCCAATTTTCTTCAACTCCAAACCTATAAATAAGAGGTTTAAAAAGATTTTTCAAAGAGTTCACCTCTCTTCCATTTATTTTCACTTTGTCCTTACTCGGTTTATCGAAAAGTGCAATTTTTAACGAAATGCGAGCCTCGGAGCATCATAAAAATATTTTCAAAAATATTTTGAAAGAGAGGGTTTTAAAGTCTAAAATAGTTTTGGTCCAAAATAGGGTGTAAGGTTGGAATTTAGAAGCTCTTCTTGCTAAAGAAATTAAGCGATTGGACAACATAACTTTCATCATCGAGTGATCAATCAGTGGTGCCCAAGTCTTAAGGACGGTAAAAAATGGGGTGTCTACACTCACCCAATTAAAGATCAGCCTTTTACTAATTCATGATATGAGATTCATTACAAAATATGCTCATGTCCTGATTATTAATGCTACTTTACTAGATGAAGCAAACTAATATAGACTAAATCACTTGTTTTGAAACACTTTGATCTCATGCGTTTTGAAAAGAGTTTGAAATGTGCAACTCTGAAGAAAAACAAGAATTCACATATGTAGAGATCAAAGTCATCCTAAATCAAGTGAAAAAGCCTCCGTTCACAGGCAATCAAAGAGATATCTCAAATAAGCACGTAGCCTCATGGTAAAATAATAAACATGGTATACAATTGGGATATGAAGATGAAAGAAGTTTACCTAGTACTCATTTGCATTAGCCAAGCGCAAAAAAATGTTAGAAAACATGCCTAATCCTAGATGTAAGAAACCAATGCAACACATCCATAAGAATGCAACTAAAGATATGACTACTCGCCTATGATATGTGAACCATCTAGAGAAATGGTATTGTGCACAAGATCGCATAAGAAATGATGAAAACACTAAGTATAATGAGCTGAGTCTTATGCATGAAAAATTGATGTAAAATATAGAAATGATGAAAAAGAAAACGTGATGCCAAGAACGATATGGAAAGTCCAAAATAAAAGGGATAGAGAAATGAGAGAAGAGAAAGATGAATAAACATGTATCTAAGCTAAAAGAAGAAATCTAGCAAAAATGAAGGGAGCAACTAAATATATATATATATATATATAATGAATTAATTAATTATACAAACAAGGGTACCAAATGAAGATAAAGAAGCTATCAATCAAAACAAGCTAAGAAACAAAACAAAATAAAAGAAAATGAGCCAAAGTATTTCTCTAACATAAAAATGTAAGAGAGAAACATTAATTCTCTTTTCATGCAAATAGAAGCTAGAATTGATGAATTCATCATCAATCACCATGAATGATGAGAGGATGAAATCCATTCAAGCCATGGAAGCTTTCTAATGAACATGATAGAAAATCTCAATCTCAATCACCAAAGAATGAGAGAAAGAATAGTAATAATCAAATGAAACACAATCCATCACTCAAATCATAAAAGCAATCATAGGAAAGATAGATTGGCTTCTTCGATCATCAAGTAATATGAAGTATCACGTGATGATCATGGAAGCAAACTAAGGCAATGGAACTAAAACAAAATGATGTAATCTATCTCTTTTCATGAAAAAGAGTAAAATATGCTCAAATCCATGTACCAATGTGTAGAGAAGATAGATCACCATTTATGTGACGACTTGAACGTGCATATCATGATTGTATTTATTTAATCAGAAATGTTTGGGACCCCTTTTTTAGGGATTTTATGACCCATAATTTGATCTTGTCCCCTTGATGTGTGTGGGGGTCCACTCATGTATGTGTCGTCCCCATATTATGAGTGGTTGGAATGAGTGTGTGGAGGTCTCTATCACAATTGTTATTTGTTATGATTTCTGTTTAGAATTCAAAATTAGTGACTTAAATGATTTCAGAAACCGAAATCGACTACCTGAATAAACTAGTTGAAAATTTTAAAATCATATGATAGGTTTGATTAAAAATTTATTCAGATTAATTTATCAAATCAAGGCCAAAAATCATTCCCAGAGGGACCTTATGTGTTTTTGTTTTTGGGTTGATAAATAGACTTCGAATTTGAGAAAATGGGCCAACTTGACAGCATACTTTCTCCAGTGGGAAGTAGTAGTAAAAGAGGGAGTGCACTCGCGTTATTCGGTTTAAAAAAAAGAGAAGGCATATGCCGACATATGCCAAAGTTGGCGTTGGCCCAAAGCCCAATGCCCATACCGCAGCGTAGACTCCCAGATTTTTCCGATTCACACAGTAAATTTAGTACCCCCTCCGGACAGATATTTCCCAACTGCACCACGTACATGTCTTCTCTCTCTCAATCTCTCTCTCTCTCTATCTAAAAACACACATCTCTTTCTCTCACTACTAGGTCGGGCCGTTAGCTAATTTAGCCAAACATCGCTCACCACCACTCGTTTCCCTTCACCAATCTTCTCCATCTTTCTCATACCCCAAAACAGAACACAATAACCCCCCCCCCAAAAAAGAAACCCTAATTCCTCTTTTTCTATCTCCACCTTCTAGTAAGCAGCTGAGGTTTGTGTTGATTTGCTGTGCTCATAGATATACTAGGGTAGGGTTTTGCTTCTGTTTTTGGTTTGGTTTGGTTTGGTTTTGAATTTGAGGTGTGATGATGGGTTGAAGAGAAAGTTGTTGGAGTAGGAGTTATGATGGAGTGGGACAGCAATTCTGATGTGAGCGGCGATGAAGAAGGGTTCCTATTGAACGATGGGGGTCCCCTCCCCTTTCCCGTCGACAGTTTGCTCCAACCAGCCCCGTGCGGGTTCGTTGTCACCGATGCCTTAGAGCCAGACCATCCTATTATTTATGTCAATTCTGTTTTCGAGATGGTCACTGGTTATCGAGCTGAAGAGGTCCTTGGCCGTAATTGGTAACTACCTTTTTATTCTTTCAACCAACACTTTTAATTCCTGTTTTTTGTAACTGCATTTCTCATTTCTGATGTGGGTTTCAGCCCATTTTTATGCCAATTAAAAACCCTCGATTGTTCTTTTTTATATTAGAAGCTAACCAACAACCTTTCTTCATTGTATCTTCATCACCTTAACAATTTACGCATAATTAATACCAAGAAACTGAAGAGCTATATGTATATGTCACGGATGATTACATAGAAAATCCAACTAACAGAAAGGGTATATATATTTATGAAACACTCTTACCACGTTTTAGTGCATTGTTTGGTGCCTAGAGAGCATGACGCTAAGTGCTTCTTCAGGCTTGGTGGCATGGCCTGTTAGTGGAAGAATGATGTGGAGAGGAGTGGGTGGCTTAGCATAACATTTAAAACTTCAGGTAGAAGAAAGGTTCATAAGGTAGAAGAAAAGATGCATGCAATTGTCTTAGTTTTAAAGTGGCGGGTTACAAGATTTTGAGAGTATAGGGTAGGAGCTCTTTGGTATTTTGGAGTTTGGAGTTAGGAGCTCTTTGGAACAGTTTCTGTTAGAGTAGGGTCTTGGGAAATGCTATTTGGGTTCTGTGGACGGTAATCAACCAAAAATTGGTTTGTGTTCTTTTAAGTGCTAGGATGACTGAACCCGAAGGAGTAAGGAGGGGTTTTTAAATAGAATTTTGGGTTTTGAAAAGGACTTTTACAGCATGGGCTGGGATATCAATAAAGTTCTAGGAAATTAAAAGAAGAAAATGAAGAAGAGGAAATGACATGAATAAGAAAACAGCGCAAATCTTATTTTTTCTTAGGGAATGCCTAGGACTTTGTACAATGGAGTCTTGGTTTAATTTTAAATCATATTGTTCAGGTTTATTGATTAACTGCTGTTGTTAAAGTTTATTCTTGTTTTATTAATTTTAGAAGGTAGTGGTGTTTTGGTTATTTTTTAATTTGTTGGGAATGGGCTATAGCTCGCATCATATTACAAGTCAAGCTGGGCTTGTGGGCTTCTTTTTCAGCTTTATTATGCCTAGGATAAGTCTTAGTTTCCTATTTTGACGTTTAGATCTAGTTGGACCATGAGTTGTCTGAAAGCCCATGAGGATCTATTCAATTTCTCTATGCCATGGAGTTGAGCTAATGATGATTTGGGGTTGTGGTTGTTTGATTTTTCCCAATGCTTGTAAGGGTGAAGGTTGAGGAATTATATGATAAATTCCTAGATTCTTTTCCCCTACTACTCGTACACAACAATGCTACTATTCCCCAAAGTAGGGCCTATCAATTCTTTATGAACTCTAACTCATACTCTATTTCTTGGCTTCAGTTTAACATTTATAACTCATAAATAGTTGTCATCAAAAGGCTTCTAGCACTAGCAACTAGTTTCTAAACATCTAGTGTGCAACAAGCATTTTTGGCCTAAAATCCACCACAATAATTGGTAATCCAAGAGTTGGCCTACTAGATGAGGCATTCCATTGCCGGGTGTGATGTTTGCATTGGAGTCTCAATGTTATGCGATACAAAATCCCTCCCCTATTCCCCACTTACCGATTGTTCAAAAAAAAAAAAAAAAAAAAAAAAAAAGTAATATCCAAGTTAGGTTGTATTATCTTGAGAAGATGAATTAAAGAACCTTAGCTAGAATCTTTATGACAATTGCAACGATAGAGCTTCACCACACAAATAGAATCTTAAAATATCAAAAAATACTTGAACTCATTTTTATTGAATAAAAAGATTACATAGGTATATAGGTTCATGGGTCATTCCTACCATTAATAGGATTAAAACTATAAGACTTAAAATAGGAAATTGATAAAATTTGACTCTTGATAATATTTTGGAGCTATAGTAAAAAGATTTATAGTGATCTAAAGACTAACTTGCATGTATGGCCCACTGCGATAACCCAGGTCATGAAACTACAAAATTGTCCTTAAATCATAAAATTGATAATAAAAACAAATTTGACTAGTGACTCTTCTAAATGTGCACAAGAGCTCGTGTTGAATGTACACTCAACACTTAGGGTAAGGCTAAGAAGTACAGACACTTATGAAAAGGTGGTGTGTCCGTGTTTGACACCAACACTCGTCGGACACTTTCCTATTACATGTCCGACACTCATCTAAATGTGTCTTATTTAAATTAAAAAAAATTTAGACTCACTCTTCGGACATTTGGAGGACATACGTGTCCATTGCTTAAATACACGTGTTCATTGATTAGACACACACATAGCTAATTATAAGTTTCAATAAAATAACTTAGAATATGATGATAAAAGAAAAACGATGTCAATTTATAGAAATTAATGTTATATTGCATTTATTTATTGTCTTAGAATAATATACTCATATAGATAAAATATAATAAATATATAAAATTATATATTCTGTGCACGTAATTGTCGTGTCGTTGTGTCCGTATTGTATTCATGTCATGTCAATTGTTCGTGCTTCTTAGGGGTAAGGGTATGAGATAGACATACTTCTGAAGTGTAAAGGGGGAACATTCCATTGGGAATATCTTGGCTAAGAAAAAGAACTTGTTAAGTAAATGGTTATGGAGATTCTCCATTGAGCGAGATGTTAATGATTTGGCATTGTTGTTAACTATTGTTCGTTATTTTTTTTGAGGCGTGATGCCATGTATAGAAGAGTGTGGTCCATTCATTTATCGGATTTGTTTTCTTGCCAGTTATGTTTCATGAGTTAATTGATAAGCCTTTTGTTCCTCTTTTTACTCCTCCTAAAGTGATTTAGAATGTTTCTGTCACTTAAAGTAAAAGTTTTTTCTTTGTCTTGTGGCTCATAAGAAGTTTAATACCAATTATTTGTTATAGAAAAAGGAGATCCAATTACTCTTTGATTTTATAGTAGTGTATTTTGTGTAGAAAGGTTGAAGAAAGTATTGACCATATGCATTTGCCATTGTGTAGTGCAGTGTTTTAAAAAGCTCTAGGCGCATCGAGGTGCTAAGGTCACCTGGAGCCTAAGCGCCGAGGCGTGAGGCAAGGTGTGCGCCGAACCAAAGCGAGGCGCAAGTTATAGAAGTTAAGCAAAATATTAATATAACACAATTTTCAACATAAGCAAATATTTAATATGTATATTATTAATTTTTTTTGATAAGAAGATAAGAGAAGAAGAAAAAAAACAATTAATTTTTTTAATATATATATTATTTTATTTATTTATTATATTTTTTAAATAATGTGTTTCAATTAATTTTTTTATTTTATTTTACATACATATGTTTATTTTTTTAACCAGCCGAGGTACAACTTGGGCATACTAGATACTTTTGGGGTATGGCAAAAATTTATAAGAGTGAATTTGTATGTGTTTCATGTATGTAAAAGTACCCATGCTTTTTTAGCATTTTAACATCGAGCAAATTGATGACTCTCATATATATATATATATATATATAGAGAGAGAGAGAGAGAGAGAGAGAGAGAGAGAGAGATGAACCTAAAGAAGACGAGTCCAGTCGATGTCGAAGCTCAGATCAGTCGATGGCTAGTACACAAACACAAAACAGATCAGTCGATGGCAAAGCGCACAAAGCGTGCACCTTGAGCCTAATCGAAAGGCGTGTGCCTCAGCGCCTTACCTGCGCTTCTCGTAACTTACCTTGCCTCGCCTACTTTGAGCCCGACACTTGAACCTCGACTCGCTTAGCACCTAGGCGCGCTTCTTAAAACACTGGTGTAGTGTGTAATATGTAGTTATGTTCTTACACTTATGTTTAGCAAAACTAATAGGCCTTGTTTGTTTACCGAATATAAATGTCAGATATGGGTGTGGGACCGAATATGATATAAGGTGGGTCCCACATGTTTTTTTTGTTTTCCTACATCCCGTGTTTGGTTGCTCTAGATATGGGGAGTCCGGATAGTATATGATGCAAAAGGGAGATATGCAATACCCCTTCCCCCCGGGGGTATTGTATATCCCCACAGTCGGACATAACTCATCTTTCATCCAAAGGTCCAACATAATTACTTTCCTGTTATCTCATCATATATCTTATCCTAACCAAACCTAATATAAGTGACCCAACAGTATATATAATCCATCTCATATCCTATAATATATTATATCTCATCCTTATCCTTAGGTATTACATATCCTCCTCAAACTCTTATATCCAATCCAAATTATCAAACGGGACCATAGGACCTTAATTTAGAACAGCTTTATGTTGATAATTGGGTTTAGATGAAGAGTCCTATTTTCCAACACTCCATCTATGTCATTTTTTGGCTAAATTATGGGTTCAACATGTTCATCTCACCTTGTTTCAAGATCCTTGCTTGATAAGTTTTAGTGCTTGGGTAGAACCAGATATGAAGTGAAGGATTATTCAACTTGGGTAGAAGACATTTGACGTCAATGCTATTGATGGTGATGGAAAGTGGGCCTCAGTGACGAAACATGGTTCAGGATCACGCTGTATCACCTTGGTTGGCTTTGAAGTTTCACGGCTCGCCGTAATCATGGTTGAGGCTTTGCAGATTAGTTGGGGAAGGTGTTTTTCGGGGAGCCTAAGGCCTCGTTTGGAAATTGGCTTTTTGGAGTTTTGGCCTTTCTATGAGGTGGAAAATACTTAAATGTATTTGGGAGTGACTTTTTTTAGTTGTATGGAAAAACGTGAATGACTAGAGTGTATGATTTGCTTTATTAGTAGTTTTTTGACTTTTTGGCTTTTTAATGACTTTCTGGTTGCCTTTTTTTATTTATATTTTTTTTATTATCGCTTTTTGACATTTTTAGCCAGAGAGGCATACTGCCAAACTTGGCCGAAGTGGTGGTTTGGGAAGTTGACATTGTTAGCTAGAGGGGAAGAGGTGCTTTGCATTCCAAAGTATGAGTTTGGAGATGGATGTTAGGGTTTTGATCTAGGAGGGAAGAAGAGACTAGGGTGCCTTTTGATGTCTAAGTGGGCTGGGCTCCAACAATCGTCAA